TTATCTAACCTAAATGTATTTTTTCAAATACATCCACAACACTTGAGTCGCTTGCTGGGAGGCAGATGCAGACGGGAGGAGGTTGTGGTGAAGATCCAGGGGAGACGTGACACCCCTCAACCAGCGCAGTGATGCTGGGGACACGGAGTGTCAAACTCTGGATCTCTTCTGAAGGTAGAGCCAACAGGACAGGGTAACAAACTGGACATGGGGGAATACAGAGAAGAGGCAAAGACGATTTCAAGATTTTTAGCTTGAGCAACTGGGCAGATGGAGTGGTGGGTTCCTAAAAGGGGGACTCTGCAGGAGGCACGGGCTGTGGGGGAGAATCAGAAGTCCGGGCTCAGATACGAGAAATCTGGGACACCCACCTAACAACAGCTCGGACGTGCCAAACAGGTGCATGGCGGGCGGGGCTGGATGAGGAGCGATCTCAGCTGGAGCATGAATTTGGAACTTTGGCCGTGGATGGGGTCAGCTCACCCAGGGAGAGTGTGAAAGAGAGGAAAGTGGTAGGAGCACGGGGCTCTTGGGCAAACACTCAGAGGCCGGAAGGAAGGAGGAACCAGTGAAGGCAGAAAGGACGGACGGGAACGGTGACCGGAGACTCAGGACAGTGGTGTCCCAGACGCTGAGAGAAGTTTCAAGAAGGAAGGAGGGACCAACTGTAGGAAATGCTGCAGACCCTGGTGGTCTCGGGCGGTCTTCGAGAACTGCCACGTGATTGGGTAAAGGGGTGATTCAGCAAAAGGTTAGGCTGGGAGCCTCAACAGAAGGAGTTGTAGGGGACAGCCACTGTGGGAATGATTCGTTCAGGGCAGAATCTTCCACGGATGAAACACGAGAGCGGAAGGTTGACGAGACACAAGACATTGCTATACTCTCCCCACAGGACACTTCTTACAGAAAGAGAAACCACGACTTCACAGTGAAGAAACCTGGCAAATGCCACCTTAACCCAGTGATCGAAGACGACACACCAGTAACCGGAGAACCCGTGAGCACCACCCCCCCCCCGCGCTGACGCACCAAAAACACCTTGCTGCAGCACTCCTGCCAAAAATACAACCTGCGTCAACCACCAGGACACTGCCCTGAGCCCGCACTCGGGGAGAGCCTGAAAAATACTTATCCTCTCCCTCTTCGGAAACGTCACGCTCTTCAGACAAAGCCCGAGGAGCAGCTTCGGTTTAAGAACGCCAGAGACAGGGACTCCTGCACCGAGCCCTGTACCCCATTCTCCTCCTTTGGCTAAAAGACACCTTCAGGACAACGGACAAAACTGAAGGAAAATCTGTGGATTAGGTAACTTGTCGTATCAGTGTGGATTTTCTGGCTTTGATGGTGGAAGTGTGGTTAAGGCACATCCTTTCTAAGGCAGAACAACCTTAGAGATGAAAGGGCACTACGCCTGCAACTTACTCTTACAAGGACCCAGAAAAAATGTGCAGAAGATGATAAAACAAACATGCATTTAAAATGCTGACATTTGGAGCACCCCGGGTGGCTCAGCTGGTTAAGTGATCGACTCTGGGTTTCAGCTCAGGTCATGATCTCAGGGCCATGATGTCATCAGGCTCTGCACTCAGCGGGGAGTCTGCTTGTCCCTCTCCCTCCCTCGCCCTCTAAAATACGTAAATAAATCTTTAAAAAATAAATAAATAAAATAAGATGTTGATATTTGGGGCATCTGGGTGAAGGGTATACGGGAATTCTTCTAATTATTCTTTCAAATTTTCCACAAACTTTGTCATTTCAAAGCAATGTTATTAAAAAGAAGAAGAAGAAGAAGAAGAATGGGAGAATCGGAGACAGCAAGTACAACAATTCTTTTGAGGAGTCTTGCCATGAAGAGAAATGGGGCAGGAGACGGCGGGGTTGGGGGGTGGGGGAGGGGGGGGTTAAAAGCAGCTCTGAGCGGCGCGCTGACAAAATGCTCCAACAGAGGGAAGATCATCCTGATGAAGTGGGGGGACAGGGGCTAGATCTCATGCACAGAGGGCTGGCCTGAAACAGGGGCATGGACCAGCTCACCCCTCGCCGTGGGAGGGAAGGCAGAACGTATGGACACAGGTGCAGTGAAGCCGGCAGATAACCCACGGGACTGCCCATCCGACTGCCTCTACCTTCTCAGTGAAACGGGAAGCAAGTCATCAACTAAGAAGGAGTCAGAAGTTGTCTAGGATGGGACGCCTGGGTGGCTCAGTCGGTTAAGCGTCTGCCTTCGGCTCAGGTCATGGTCCCGGGGTCCTGGGATCAAGCCCCGCGTCGGGCTCCCTGCTCGGCGGGGAGCCTGCTTCTCCCTCTGCCTCTGTCTCTAAATAAAATCTTTAAAAAAAAAAAAAAAAGTTGTCTAGAAAAGCGGAAATGCAGCAGGACTGCTGGGCAACACCACGGTCCACTGGAGGTGACGATGGCCGTGCGTGCTAAGTGAGACCAGTCCGCAAGGAGACCGGTTCTTCTGCAGTCACAGTAAATTCACCACAGCCATGGCACGTACAACCAAGGGAGAGGGGCAGCACAGGGATCATAATGGAATGCAAACTGGGTAAGAAGGGAAAAGAGAACGTGACAGGCAATACACAGGTTAATTTTCAAATGCTGATAAATGCTAGGAAGAAAACAGAATAGGACAGTGTGGCAGAGAATGCCCAGAATGGGACGGACTGGGACGGGGTGGTCAGGAAAGACTCCTGTGAACAGGAGCACAGAGGCTGAGACTTAAGTGAGTTCACCCTCCCATGAGTTTCCCGAGTTTCCCAGCGAAGTGCCAAGGAGCTGGTGAGCAATGTCCTCAGCATACTCTAGAAACGAGGTTAGCCTGGGCAGCTGGAGTACGGTCCAGAAGTTGTACGAGATGAGGTCTGGAGGTTAGCAGAGGACACACGAGGCAGGGCCTCCCATGCAATGATAAATTACTGTGTGGTTCTGAGCAGGAGAATGTTGTCATCTTATTGATATGAATACATGTTTTTTAAAGTAGGCTCCATGCCCAACATGGGGCTTGAACTAACAACCCTGAGATCAAAAGTTGCATGCTCTACGGACTGAGCCAGTCAGCGCCCCTTTTATGGATATTTTAAAACAGATCACTGGCTACCGACTGGGGAATGGAACAGGACAAAGCCCTGGGGATAAAGACAGAGTAAGACAATCCATCCTTCTAAGAACGTGCAGTTATAGGGGAAATGAGATGTGGGATGTGCTTTAAAATGCTGGGGGAGGGGGCAGAGTTGGGAGGATGGGCATGAAACCATGTTGGTAAGAAGTTCATTGTTAAATTTGGGTGACGGGGAAAGCATAGGGTGGGATGGTTTAAAATACTATTTTTTTTTTTTTTGAAGATTTTATTTATTTATAGAGAGAGCACAAGCAGGGGAGAAGCAGACTTCCTGTGGAGCAGGGAGCCCGATACGGGATTCGATCCCAGGACCCTGGGATCATGACCTGAGCTGAAGGCAGACACTTCACTGACTGAGTCACCCAGGCGTCCCTCAAAATACTATTTTCTCTACTTTTGTGTAATCTGAATTAAGTTCCATCTTTTTTAATTACACATAAAAACAAAGCAAATCAAAGCCTAGCTGTTTGGTGTGAAGGAAGAAGGTTGTATATACACATGAAACGAATAAATACATCATTTCAATACGTTGCAGGAAAGACAGCTAAGGTTTCCCAAAGGCAATGAGAAGCACAGAACTGAGAAGATTTTTGTGGGGAGCAGGGAAGCAGCACAGAGAGGGACCCCAAGCAGAGAACTGTTAAGTGCAAAGGCCCGAAGCCAGGAAAGCCCAGCTAGTGATGGATTTTAAAGCACAGCAAACGGGATCAGAATTTTACTTGAGGAAGCTCACTCCAGCTGCCGTGCAAGAAATGGATGAAATGCCACAAGACTGAGGCAAGAAGACAAGTCAGGAGACTTGCTATAAGCCACACCAGAAACTGTGAACGGATCCAGTCTCACTGTGCAACTACGAGTTCACAGTACCTACAGGAAAGCAAGTTGTGATTCAGCCTAAACAGATGGCCCAATCAATGGATCTCTGTCCTTCCAATAAGCTCCAAGCCTATTTACTTACTTTCTCATCTCAATTAGACTAGAAATTCTCCAAGGGAAAAGACTATGCCTATGTGTCCACCCAGAAACAAGAAACAGTAGCTAACGCATAACAGATACTCGGTAGTGTTTGAATGAAAACATGGGGAAGCAAAGCAAACCCTCCAGGTGGCGGCACCGCAAACCCTGTGAACCGAGAATCCAATACGAAAGACGAAAGACGTTAGCAAGAAAAAAGGCAGGATATGCCCAAAAATGTGGCACTGGCAATATTAAAGGGGGAGTCTAGGTTCCCACATCACCTTTAGCTTTGCTCTAAATTCTACTAGGCTTTAGACACTTGCGGAAAACAAGCAAGACGTTGCGTTCGTGAGCTTGCCTTGAGGGGGGGCGGGGAAAGCTTGGGACGATGAAAGAAAGCACACGTGTACAGACAGAAGAGACAGTATTTCAGAAATACTTAAACCCACGTGAATTAGAAGACGGAGATCGAGAGGAGAAAACGCGTAATCAGTTCCCACTCCCCAAAGTGGGCTGAGACAGCAGAGGTACGGACCCGGCAGCCTCCACAGTGAGGAGTAATGTCAGTATCAGCGATAAGACCGTCCCTGACGAATCTGGGGCTAAGCTCAGAGAACCACCCAAGGTTGTTGACAACCCTCTTCCTGGAAGGAAGCATAGCGCTGGGAAGGTCCCAGTAACAAACACGGGACAAAGAAGACCTCATGTATATGGATCTTGAGGGGTGGCTAAAATTGGGGGGGGGGGCGGCTAGGAGAGGACGGAGGGCAGGGGCTTTTAAAGGAGCACCTACCCTCAGACATCACGTTGGACACACTATGCCTTCTTACAATCAGTGCTTTCACCTGGGCGAGAGGACACGGTTCAAGCTAGGACCAGGGCAATGGGAAGGATATGGAAAGGAGTGGACAGATCTGAAAGCTACTTAGATAATAAAATCAGGGGTGCCTGGGTGGCTCAGTCGTTGAGCGTCTGCCTTCGGCTCAGGTCACGATCCCAGGGTGCTGGGATCGAGCCCCGCATCAGGCTCCCTGCCCCTCGGGAAGCCTGCTTCTC